ATTCCTACACCATATGTATGGCTTCAGAATAACTGTCGTTCCATACTTTTTAAATTTCAGCTAACATTTATTGAATTCTTACTGTATGCTGTGTACTATGTTATGCAACAGCACCATAAAGAAGAATAAAACATGGCCTTAGTCTTCAAGAAGCATACGATGCTTTTTGTCTTTTTCTATTCTTATCTCAAATTATTTGACCTGTTCACTGGCTTTGGTCTCTTTTGTATGGATATTGATTGCTACTCTGGTTTAAATTTTTAAGTGTGCCAGGGCATCATTTGTGAACATACAATATAATTAGGACTTAATTGTGATTCTGAGGACAGGCTCAATCCAGCTCTTCTGATGCGTGATCATACTAATAATCTAAACTTTTTTTCAGTTTCATAATCTCTAAAGACTTACTTAAGGATCTGTAAACACTTATAGCTAAACTGTACTAAAGAAAACTTAGCATTAAGAAAACTGACATTTTGAGTATTGACAATGAGAGAAAAATCTTATAATACTGTATTTTAACTGCTTTAGTAAAGTTCCTGATATTCATGAAGTTGTCTTCATGATATCAGAAGTTTAATTAGTAGAAAATTAGTCAGATGACTTAAATCAAATTGACCTTTATTACCTATTAAGCATTAAATTTATTTTTGTTTTAATAGTCATGGTCCTGTCTCATATTCTGTTAAAGGGTAGATGTTATCATTCCCTCTGTTAGAGGTCTGTTGGCTAACATTCAGTATACACCTCCACTGAAACCAACTAACCACACAGAAATGTGTTTTATATTTATAGCACACACAAATAAACTACTACCTTCTTTTTTTCCAGGCCAAAAACCCCATCAGAAGAAATATTACAGTGAGGTGTACTATATAACTCAAAAAGAGTAGAAACAGTCCATTGTTTTTCTCTGTTCCTGTTCCTGTTAGTGCCTAACAAGTTCCAGGATTCCAAAGCCTCATCTGACAAAAGCCTGGATGTCCTTGCAACACTGGTTCCTTACATAATCTATCAGGAGTTTGGTCTGATTAATTAAATCTAGAAATAAAAAGTCATTGCTCAGAATACTTCTATCAGCAGTGAACGCTAGATTTTCTTTTTAAAATATGACCTGTATATTAATGCTAGATAGCTATCGAGGATGCTCAAAACTGAGTTTCCAAAAATACAGGGTTTTTTGTTCCAATTATTGCAATGCTGGGGATTGAACCCAGGGGCATGTTAGGCAAGCACTCTGCCACTGAGCTATATACCTTCAGCCCTCAAAATGCAGTCATAATAATGAGTAGTTGCTTTTGGTTTTGGCTAAATTCTACTTCTGTGTTGTAGTTTTAGTAAGTTTTAAGTGTATGGTTCATTTCATAATTCATTCTTTTAAATAAAAGTATAAAAGTCTTTTTGACTTTATAATCAAAAGGAGAATTTAGAAAGTTAAAATATATCTAGCTAAAAGAGACCTCTGTACCCAACAAACCCCAGGTTTGTCCCTTTTATAATGGAACTATTCGATAGTTTTTGCTAAGTTTTTGATCCCTTAAACCACAAAGAGTAGTTCCAGATAAGGTGAATATGAGTAGCCCCAGAGGGCTAGGCTGGCCCCCATGTTCACATTTTCCACATACAAAATCTCTTTACCCGTGCCCCTCACATGTCTGTTTATTCTTTTATACTGTTGATCATACCACAAAACTTGAGTTCTTCCTTGATTTGTTAGCATCCAAAGGGAATAGGAGTCTATCCCTGAAAGCTTTCATTTTCTCTGTTCCAAAAGTAAATTTTAAAAAATGTACTGTATATTCTAGAAAGACATGTTTAAAAAAAACAAACTGTTTCTTTGTCTGTATATTTATTATTCAAAATCAGACTCTAAAAAGGTGAACTCAGTTTTTAGTTTAGATTCCCCCTACACCATTAGTTTCATAACATTCAATTTTGGATTCACCTTTTTTGTACCTTGTAAAATACTTTACAAGACTTAAATATTTGGTTTATATACTTAAGGCATTCTTTATTAGAGTAATAGTAATGAATTGTGGAATTTGGGATCTCTGTCTTGTTTTTGAAGACAGTAAACCAGGCATTTGTAGCTCTAGTGTTACCTCTCAGTTAAGTAAAAGGAAGGTACTTGGATCAGCAGCCATGAATGTCTCACATCAGATGATCGAGGCCTAGAAAGAAGAATGTGCTTTATGTGGTCTGAATGTGCATACGCCTTTTCAATGGATGATAATACCAGGTGTTGAAAGTATTCTTAGGCCCTCTCTTACTGTTTTTGCAATTTTTATTCATCATTCTTTCCTCCTGCAATGTGGCACACTACATAAAAGAGAAATCATTTCTTCCCTTTCAGAAAATGAACTGTACAAATGTTTAGACAAGTACTATGTAACACATATGTGTTACATATGTATATATAGTACATTTGTCTGCAGGACAGTATAGCCAGCTAATTTCCAAATGCCTCGCAGTGCAGTCTAAGGGTTGAGCAAAGAGCATTATTGTCTAGCTGTGGAACATAAATTTTCTGCTTCAGAGTCTTCCTTCTCTGGGATTAGGCCTGTGGAGTTTGTTGTTTTAATCTGAGGTAGCCACAGAAAGTTCTTCTGTAGTCGCAAACTGGTTTCAGTAATTGCCTTATAATGCACATTGTTTTTGCTTATACTATGCTTTTTTTTTTTTGTACAATGTAGTTGACTTAATTTGTTGAACAAAACCAAAGATTTCTAATCCCTTTAATTGTATAAGCCCTGGCTTCTAACCCCATTTCAGTTTCTGTTATCAGTACTAAAAGAAGCTCACAGACCTCTGCCACCAAGGGGTTAAATTCTTTCATCAAGTATGTTTATGAGGGTCCATGTTGGCTGTACTGTCTTTTTTTTCTGTTCTTTTTTTTTTTTTTAACTTTCTAGTTCACTAATCAAATGTATGTTAGATTGATTATTGTAAAAGTATAAACCATAGAAAATTTGACAAGATAGATGTGTAAATTATCCTTCTGACAGAACTAATGATGCACTCCAAGCACCTTCTGTTTTCCAGCGCTTGGTGAGAGACTTCATTAAATATGCAATGGCTGTTGGGTGGCTTCTCAGATGATGGTTCAGTTCCTTGTGGAATTGCATTATTACTAGAGGTGTAAAACCAGGCAGACAAGCTAGCTGTTGGGCATCCTGCTGAGCTTCTAATGTGCTCCATCTTGTTGGAGCAGTTGTTTGCAGTCTTTTCAGGACAATTACATCTATAACCACAGGACACATTCAGTGAAACTATATTACAGATAACAGTGGTCTGGCACTGACTGCTCTCGCCCCTCTTGAGCTGCTTCAGTGTAGTTAGCTTATAGAAAGTAACACAGTAATCTAATGCCACCTCCAACACTTAGACTAGTTACTTTTTTTTTTTAATCTTACAGAGCAAATCTGGAAATAACTGATTTTTAACTTGTTAAATTCTTAAAATCATAGAATATTAGAATTTAATAGACTATAGATTCTAATCCATTTGCAGATGAGAAAACTAAGGCTAATGCATAGTCATGAGTTGTCCCTTAAATAAAAGATCCTAGCAGAAAAATCTCTTATGTAGCAGAGATTGTATAAGTAGTAATTTGTAATTTTTGCCTCTGGTTTTAGATATATTTTTTAAAAAGTTTTTATTTTGAATTCAGTTTTTTCCCCTCCTGAACCTCATTATCTTATCCCCTTTCTTAACACCAGCAATACTCCCTTATTTCTAAAATCTAGGCAGAAACCATACTATTTATTATTTTGATGACAATTTGATGGTTTCCTGGAGAACTAGACACAGAAGATGGTTTGAGTTGAGTTGAGATGGTATTTAAGGTTTCCAAAAGGCAGATGCTATGATGTATTGCTGCAGCCTGATAAATGGGAGTGCATTTTAGAGTGACAGGCTGAATAGTTTAATGAGAGAAGGTTTCCCATTTCGGTTGGTCAACAAATCACTGTTGATGACTTTGGATCATAATGAACATTTGTGGAAAATGACCATTTGAGTAATGCATGTGTTTGAGAAATACTAACTACAAATAATCCTAACCATAAATTAAAAGACTTACTTATTTTGCCACAGATATGTCAGCATATTGCTTTGTTTTTCAGTGCCAAATTAAGTTGACAGTTCAGAATTCTTTTACATATCCTTTCTTATAAAAGTTATATTTAGAAAAGTTTTGTTTTTCATTGACTGCCTTTTAAAATATAATTCTTGCTGCTAATTATTATGTTACTTCATTCTCAAATTAAATTAGTAAGACTTAGAAACAAAGAATAAGAAGATGATAGTTTATAAAGCTAAAGATTAAAGTTAAAATGGATTAGGCATCTGATTTTTTTCAGTGCCAAAAATATTTCTTAATTAGAAAAAACAATAGGAAGAAAGTAACCATTGTTTGGGAACATGCAAATTTATTTAAAAGCCTGTGACAAGAAAATGTAAACAGAAAGCTTCACAGCTAAATATTTTTCCCCATCAGCCTGTTAAAGATTCAGAATTTTTTTTTTTTTTGGAAAAGTCTTTGTGCTCCTTAAAATATTTTAAGGATCTATACTGTTAGTTTTGCAAAGCTTTGCCAACAAATTCATCCCAATGTGATGTTTTTCTTTAGTTAACTTTATTTTCTCTGAAACTTGGTATGTTTTAGTAGTTAAGATGGGGGTGGGTTCTTTTGAAATGCATGTTTTAATCATCATTTTTATTTGTAAAATGGGCTGTAATCTCAGTCCAAGCTTCCTTCAATCTCCATTTCATAGTTTACAGAGAAAGGAGACACTGTGGAGCACAGACTTCCCCTGGGAATGCATTGAGCTTAATGAGCTTGATAGTCTGGTGGGCTCAATAAATCAAATAAAGCAAAACATTTCTCATTTTTGAATAAAAGCATTTATCAAACAGTGTTTGTTCACTCGTGGTCACAAGATTGATTGGTTCCCAGCATCATAGTGTATATTGAAGCATTTTTGATTTTGTTTTTCCAGTGGGCAAGTTGCGGAAGCAGTGGCTAAAGGAAAGTATCTCCGACGTCGGTTTTGGAATGCTGAAGTCTGTCAAGGAATATGTGGACCCCAGTAATATCTTTGGAAATAGAAACCTTTTATAAATCCATTAGTACCATTATGAAAAATGTCACCTTTTTTTTTTTTAAGTCTTGAACTATATGGTTATACCAGTAATCAGATACATTATGGACTATATTTTGGCTACATTTGATTGTTGATTTAACATAAGTTTGCTTTCATTCTGTAGTTTTGTTTCCACATCTATGGATTGACAGATGGTGTTCTTAAATCTCTCTCAGTGTAGGTATATCAGTTTACAGCCAACTGTTTATAATTTCAAATTTTAGTCAAGCATCACAAGGCTACCAGATATTTCAGAGGAAGATGCTGCCTGCTGTTTTAGATTAATGCTTCCTCTTGAGGAACAAAGGCAGCTTTTGGTATCATCTATTGCTTCTCTGGCCTTTTAAAAAAAAAAAAGAAGAAGAAGAACGTTTTTGGGAAGCAGATATCTAGGAAACGTGTCCACTGAGGAGTGATACAGGTATATGTTTTCTAAGAACATGTTATACTGTGATAGGACATTAAGGGAGGAAAGAGTATAGGCAACCTGTTGTTAGGAGGCCTTCAATTCTATAAGGTGCTTGGCCTACAGTTTTCTTTGAAATTAGTATACAGTTGTAATTACCAGTATAGGAATTACTCTGTGAGGGGACACATTTTTGTTCTTGATGTTTCTCTTTCTGCTGATATATGAGTTTGTATTTGCATCACTGAGATCATTCATAGTATGTTTTGTAAGAAAAGCTGACTTATCCCTCACTTATTCCTGTGAAGGTCAGGTTTACTATGAAATGAATGCCTTTATCCACCCTGAGTCCCAGTGTTTCTCCTGTCCCATGCTTGTTGCTGAGCTGCAGAAGCTGCAACAGGAACAGAAGGAAGACTCCTGACCCTAATGTCTCCAGCTGAAAGAGCCCTTTGGCTAAAGAAACACTCATGATTTAGCATTTGGATTTAAAAGCCTCAACAGTTTCAATGACAAAAATCTTTAATTTTTTAAATTAACCCAAATAGCATGGTAAATTTTCATGTGAAAATAAGTTTCAAATTAGTTCTTAATAATGGTTTAATGCCTTTTTTGAATTACTGGTTTAACCTAAATTTTTTAAAAAATGTATTAATGCATATACATAATCAGAAGTTTGAAATATCATATTTCTTACATAATAAAGAAAACATTAATCACATTTAGCAAACATTTTTACATTTAACCTGGCTATTAAAATGAGTGAAATTATTACTTTAAATCACTGTCTGTTTGGTTCATGTTTTACATTTTAAGATGGATTCTTTTCTTACTGCAATACCTAACTTTTGATAATTTTTTAAAACTAATATTTAATCAGATAATATATGTCAAAATGCAGATGATCCTTTGAAAGGACATTCTGTGTAGCAACAACTCCAAACTATTTTGGGGCAGTTTACTATCTTTTTTATCTGAAGTAGCCTTAACCAGAAAAGTGAAAATTTAAATTTGACAAAATGTATTTTTAAGACTTCAAAATGATAATTTTTAACTATTAAAATTGGCCTCAAACTAACAAAATTAAATCTGTAAACAAATCAAAATTAAGTACTAGTGTAACGACAAAAACTAAAACTATGTATTTTTAGAAGCTGCCTCTCTTTATTGGTGATTTATTTTTAATTATAAAATTTCCAGCAAGTCTATGCTTAAAACCCTCGATGATTTGAAATAGTTGGACACTTGATGAGGAAATTGCCTCTAGAATGATCATATTCTCAACTTTATAAAATGCATCTATTCATGACGATGATTTCTCTAATTGGTGATCAAAATGTAAAATTTAGTAAGGTACTAATATCTCACGGAAAGTGTATACATGTTTCTGAGCAATTTTAAAAAATAAAACGGATTCACAAGCAGATCCATTCTTTTGCATGTGATTGGTCTAGTATTCTTTCCCAGGGAGTTGAGATTTCAACAACCTCACATATCTATATTAGATATTAAGAATCTATAAAGGTAACACCTGGAATTGTGTTCACTATTCTACATGAACCTTATGGAAATTAGTGATTTATGTTTTTGTGTTTCTTTTTCCATGTATGCAGGCATTCCCAACCTTAATTTTATAATGGTGACTATATTTTGTAGTTGGAATCATTTCTACAGGGATCATTTTGAAACGCAAGAACGTTCATCAGTACTGTTTCACTCTGATTTAGTAAATCAGAAAGCCTTCACCCAGCTTTGACACACTCATATCTGGGAGGTGCCTGAGTACAGACTTAGTGTCTGGAGCACTGAGTTCATGAATATGCACAGAAGCACTTAAACCATACCTCTTGTTTTTGAAGTATCTGAAAATGGCTTCATGAAAGTGAAAGCCTGGAGAACATTGTCTATGTGAGGCTTCTTCACTAATTCTGGACAAGTTTATTTAAAATTCTGAAGACCCATAGCCTATTTGGTTTTCTAACTGGGTAACACTGACTTTCTTAAGTTAGTCATGTTTGTAATATTTTGCTTATATTTTGATGATGTCTCACTTGGTTGGGTTTTCAATGGTAATGGGAACTTGCTGCTAGTGAGAAATGGAATTGAAGAGACGTAATATGAACAGGTCTCTTATTGGCCCTTAGAGAAACTGTTGCCTTAATGTTTGGTGCAATTTATAGTAGTGCAAAAGTGAATTAGTCTTGAGCTTTTTTATTTTGGTAAGAATTGTGGAAGTCACGTGTTAATTGTGCCCAGTATTTACCACAGAAAAGAGGATTACATTCTTCTGCTTCTGAATAATTAGGAGTTTTCTTCCTAAAAGCACTTGCATATTGTGGGACTATTACTGTAAAGTTATTTGTGAAGCTGGAAGCCATCTAGTTGGCATAGCTGTGTTGATTTGGAAAACAAAAAATGCAATAAAGGATGAGCTGCCATCAGTGTGCATAATATACCAGATGCAGATGGTTGCAAGGAAACCTTTTTTTTTTTTTCCAGAATATTAGTAACTAAGTCCTAGCTTGCATTTTGACAATGCCTTTCTGTATGTTGGCCCCAGAGATTTTCCCTTGTCATTTTTTCAGAACTACTTCTTAACTGCAGTCAATCAGAGAAGCTGTGAAGTCCTAAACTGCAGTTTGTTCCCTTAAGTCTTCAAATGGGCTGGGTTTGGTTTAGCTTCTATTCCATATCAATATTAGAACACACTTATTCAATATGGATTGATTCACAAATTGCATGTGGTGGTGCTTGAGGCAGCCAAATGGAATGCTGTGGAAAGCATATCTACATTTTAAGGAACTGAGATAAGAGTAAAGGACAGCTTTAGTAGCTTTTTGTTTATCACTTAAGATTTAGCAACTTTGATTTTGATTAGGGCTTAGCTCATGGTAGGAAAAAAGCAGAAAGTGTTACAGGTGCCAGTTTAGGATTGAAGAATTCGCTGTTTCACCTTTGCTTTGAGTTATGGAAGTTTGGCTTTGCCCAAGGCTTCATGTTCCCAAATGAGCCATATGTCAACATATTCGTTTAATTCTTACTAATATCAGTTTCCTGAAAAGGAAAGGGGAAAAAATGAACTTATACGTTGATGCTGAAATCCAGAAAGTGTGAAAGGTTTACTGAAACTGTTGAAATATACTGACTGATATGAAGGATGTAAGTTACTCAGCTTTCTGTTCCCTAAGCCAAATAGTGTTTGTCTTCAGTGTGAAATTTAACTGTAAAAACTGCTTGTATAATGTTGAGAGATTATAGAAACATATTATTAATAAACTGGACTTGGGTCTAAGATTTTTTTTTCCTCAAAGGGAGTGTCAAGGTGTTATTTGTTCTGTTTGCATATGGGTTTTTCTTTCATCTTTAGTCTATCATCTTAATATTTCCACTGATCTGAAAATAGGAAATTAGTTTTTGTTGTTTTATTGATGTAGCCTAATCAAGTATAACCTATGACTAAATCTGTTTGGATTACTAACAGTCTGTCATTAGCTAGGTTGTATCAATCTCTAATTATTTTAAAAATCAATGTTAAATTCTTAGGAGGCATTTAGTCTTTTGTAATTATAAAGAATTCCCTTTAAAAACCTTGGAAGAATCTCAAAGAATGAGCTTTCTCTTGCTTTTCTAACTATAGAATTTAATTCCTTAACAAATATCTATCATACTCAAGCCAAAGAGCCATCACTGAATTCAGTTAACTTTAGGTCTGTGAAATGATTTCTTTTTAGGTTCCCAAAGGATATTATTTTATATATTTTTCACAAAGGAAAAATAATACATTAAGTATTGCTAGTAAAATTTTTCAGGTGTTCTGAATTCCCATTCTGAAAGAGAGAGAGAAATCTGGTTTTCGTGTAGATTTCTAAGTAACATATATACATGTTTTTAAGGCACCTTATTGTTGGCAGTGTTTTTCATGACCACTTTAAGCACCCCACATGAAACATGTTTTAACTCTTAATTGAATTTCAAAAAGAACATGATATGCTTATACTGGTATAGTTTCTATAGTTATTTACTGAGCTACTTAAATAGTACCCCCTTGCTCACAGTGCCTTTTTGGGATTTCCTCTGCTCCCCTCCACCCCCATCATGAAATAGCCATTTAAAATGAGAAGAAGAGGATAAGTCTTTAAAGACAGAGGTTATTTATCAGCTCAAGGCTATTCCTCTTTAAAAACATGTCAGGAATTAAGTAGTTGTGCATTAATCTGATGATCCTCTCCATTGTTGGTTTGGCTCATCTAACATATTTAATTAATTGTATGGTGGATTTGTACCCTCACATACAGATGAGGTACTAATCAGTCAATAGGAATTTTCATCCCTACATTTTCATTCCTACTGCCCCAACCTGGTAGCTCTGAAGTGTGGCTATTCACCCAGCCTTGAGACACTCGCTCTGTGCTTTGGATGTCTGCTCACATGGTCCCTGGGGAGCAGAGCCTGGAAGAGGGAGTGGGGTCTATTCCTTATATTGTGTGTCAGTCCTTTTGTGTGATGGTGCCTTCCGATTAATAAATATTTTTGTTCCTGAACAGTGGTAAATCTTATGAGATTTATGTGTAGGTCACATTAATTTTTGTCCATTTTTGCTAAGCCTGTGAAATACTTTGGCTCTGATACAACTTGAATAAAATCTTATCCTGAGTCTTCCTCCAAGGCAGTGCGTATTCCTGCCAGTACTCTAGTAATCTTTTGGGAATTATGTGTGGGTAAGCACTTGTGTGTAAGCCATTTTACTGCTGTAACTAATGCATACAGTTCTTCTCTTTACATTTATAGTCTAAAAGTGGATATGTAGTGGGAAGGGAAGTTCCTGAGAGATTCCAATATAGCGTTGTCAATTCATACTGAGCCATGTTGTTTTCCACAAGGGCTCAAAACATAGTCTATGTACTGTGCTTTCGGTGTATGTTCAGATTCTCTTTTATTGGTTTCCCTCCAGTGTACTGTTCTATAAGCAAATGCCCATGTTTTATTTTTTTTTAAGATGTGCTGGGAACAAATAAAATAATATCAAAACAGCTTATTGTTACAGAAATTTTTATTTACTTCATACTGATTTCATTTAACCTGTATTCCTTTTACTTCTACCCACTAATACATTGTCCTTGCCTTCTGTAGTCATAAAGAATTGACCATTTGTTCTGTTGAAGTGTAGTTCTTCAGGTGTTTAAAGACTGATCTCATGGGCCCTCAGACCTTTTCCAATCAGCGTTTGCTCCTGTCATTTCTCAGACCCTTCACCATCCTAATCTTCTCTACATGTGCCCAGTTTTTAAAGTGAGTTGTGTAGGCCTGAATACAAATATACCAGAGGTGGACCAATGCTTCCCTTAGTATAGTCACTAATAAATGCATGTTTGCTGGGCATTGCACTCTCCATGCACACTGAAATTAAATTTAACAGGGTTATTTTCTCTGCATGTGACATTTTATTCACATTTCCCTGGAGGTGATTTTTCTAAGGCTCCTTTTCCTGTTACTTTATTTATCCCCACTAAAATTTGTTCTCTTAGTAGGTTTTGCTCCAGATTTTCAGAATCTTAGGATTTTTGACCTGTACCCAGAATATTTTCTGTCCCATCCAGCTTTGTATCATTCGTAAAATTGAGACAAATACTGTCTGTATTCTCATCTAAATAGTGGCAGACAACAGGTACTTTATAAGGGCTTGTTTGACCCACCATCCTGATCTTCCAACCATGAACAAGCATTTAGATTCCATTTGACATACTGTTGTCTACCTCATATTTTTACATTTTGTCCACAAATAGTCTTTTTATTCAGTGAGTCAGTATCTGTTAATCAAACATTAAATACACAATCATGTTTGCTTAATTTAACATTGTCAGCTGCCAGACTCAAATAAGGATAAAGCTTGCTGCCCTAATTTCCTGTGCTACCCAGTCAGGAAAAAACGTGAAGTTTACTTTTGCCTATGTTTGTCCTCAGGGGCACGTCTTTCCAGAAGACTCATACACCCGGGGCCTACTATTGGCTGATGGACAAATTCTGAAATCCCTCCTTGCACATAATTCAACCGTATCCATTGTACTTCATTGTGCTGGGGAAAAAAAAAAAAGTCTGTCTCACCATGAAGCTGTAAAATAGGAAATGATGGGGTTCTAAAGGTTAAGAACAAAGTGGAAACCGCTCTAGACCTTTTGGATATGCATCATTTTTCTCTATCCATATACATCACTTTCCCTATTTTGTAAAATGAAAATCTATAAGGTCCCTTCTAACCCTTCTCAGTGATTCTAGTTGAGTCTATGTACTTGTGCTGAACACTGCCCTAAAATTTACTATTAATTATTTAATTTTTAATTTACCCTTCAAATGCCAGACTGAGGAAAGAGGCAATTTTGTTTTCACAGCACTACTGTCAAGGAAGTGGAATTATCCCCTTTTTATTGGTGAAAAAAAGTTAGTTAAGAAACACCCTTAGTGGTAGAAAGTGACATTGCTGGGTTATGCAGTTGAGTATGACTGTACCCTGTACCACTGTGCTGCTGGCTGCTTCACTGCAGAGTGCAGGGTAACTATGGTTTGTACAGAATTTCTGCCATATATATATATTTGTTTTAGGTGGACACAATATCTTTATTTTTTATTGTTCTGTGGTGCTGAGGATCAAACCCAGTGCCTCATGCATGCTAGGTGAGCTCTCTACCACTCAGCCCCAGCCCCAGAATTTCTGCTTTTTAAAGCAGATTATTAGTCATTGTCCTTTATAGAGGGGATGAGTAAGGAAATACAGTCCCCTACTACTGGGTGAAAGCTGCTTTCTTCAGGAACACACATCACAGAAATAGTAGAAAGTCTTTTGAATCAGTTGCTGTCTTGCTATGTAAATGTTTACTCCACAGTGTCCTGCATGGATGAGTTTATGGGTTTAATATGAAACTCAAGTGTAAGTGCTGCATCTGATGACTTAGCAGTTTTGACTAATTTTGTACTCTTTGAGCTGCACTTTAAAATGTAACCTATTTCTGTAAGTTAGACATTTTCCAGAGAGCCTGGAAAGTGAAAGAAGTGTTTAAAAAAAAAAAAGTTCTGTTATAATCTAAGTTTAAAATCTAATCTAAGTTTAGAATCTGGTGGTTATAGTCAGATTATGTAGTTGGACAACTAAGAACCTGGAATCATCTGTTCATCAAAAAAATATGCTGTTTGGCTTAACACTAAGGGCATGGCTCAATAAGTAAAAAATACGGAAAACCCAAGTGTAATTTTAGCAGAAGGAGGTCAACACTGGATAAGAGATACTGGGTGTCATGCTAAAGTTAAAAGGCATTGAGCTGCAAGTCACACTGATACCAGGAAGCTACTCAGTGGAGCAGGGAATGCCCTTAGAAAAGCACAAGCTCTCAGATGTTTCCAGATTTTCCATGGTCATTAAGGAAGAAAAAAAGGAACCTAAAATAAAAAATTCTATTTGAAAATATTGATGTTCACTTGAAATGAAAATTTTGTCTTTGGTGATGTTATTCTTTTAAAATGAGGTGGTTTAGGCAGCCAGTCTGCTTACCTAGAATTGGACTTCAGCACTGCTCACGCCCTGGGACACCATTGTGGAAGTATATCCAGGAAAGGATTTGTGGGGCAGCAGGGTCAGAAAGTTGCTTTCTTAAAACTTCCCATCCAAGTCATTTGCCCTTTCTTATCTCACATTTCCTAATAATTTTATGTCTTTGGAAGTTTAACATATAGCCCTCTAAAAACAAATCACTGTAATGTTGAGCCAAACCAATTATGACTATATATATACCCCACCTGTATCACACTCCATGCTTTATCACATCCAGAGAGTAAAACTGTCTCATTACAAATGATTCACCTCCTTCTCCATAAAATTCTCCCAGCTCCCAGTGGTCTGCTTCCCAAGACTGGGTTAGAGTTTGCCCAACGTTCATAGATGGTATTAGTGCAGACATCATGCCACAGCTGAGGTCACAAAGAGGAACTGTCATGAAGAATACAAATCCTTTGGCTGGCATATCATGTCATGATCAAAGGATTCTGTTTGTAGTGGTTCTACACTAATATTAAGTTCTTGTTTATGCCTATAATCCCAGCAACTAGGGATGCCGAGGCAGGAGGATTGCAAGTTTTGTGGCCAACCTGGGCAATTCAGTGGGACCCTTTCTCAAAAAATAAAAAGGGCTTGGAATATAATTCATTTATATAGTATGCCTGGGTTTAATCCTCAGTACCTCTAAAAAATGGGGGGAAAAAGTTCATTTCTGAGAAAATGGATATAACTACTTGTATACAAACACAAGCTCAAATTCTGTATGTGCATGTGTTGAGGTCAGAAAGTTGCTAAGATTATGAAATACTGGTCTTGCATTTGGTACCTTCAAAATAGACTACAGATATTATGAAGAAATCTTACAAGGAAAAGCTTTAGCAATACAGGGAAATCTCCCCGTTTGTCAAGAAAAGTGCTTTTGACACTGTTAGGTATGCTCTGGGAGCATAGAACAAAGCTTTTTGTCACAGCTTTACAGATAGAGGCTTTAAAATTATATATATATATAATTTTATATATACTTTCACCTTACTTTTATGTGGTACTGAGGATCGAATCCAGGGCCTCATGTGTGCCAGGCAAGCGATCTACCCCTGAGCCATGGCCACAGCCCAAGATGGAGACTTTTGATCAAATAGCAAACTATGGAGTCATTGTAAAGCCATTTACTACCAAGAAATAGAGCCAGGGTACTTTGAACATGAATTTAAAAGATATATATCCTGAGACTGGGGATATAGCTCAGTGATAGAACACTTTTCTGGCATGCACAAGGCCCTGGGTTAAAAAAACATCAGATGTATACCCTAAAAATAAAGGACAGTCAGTGCCTGGGGAAGTTAAGAATGTTCTCACTCTCCCCAAACTCCTCCAGACCAGTGAATTTTTAAAATATGGTTCAGGAGACTGTTGTCACTAACAACCATGTGAATCCAGGTAAGTACTTACTTCAGTGGAGAGCCTGGTTAAGGGGAAAAATGACCATTATTCCTTTAGTCAGTGGTAGCAGCAGTCAGGATTTCCTGATACATTACTTTCCAGGAAATCCCAGCTGCCCAGCGACAAGGGGCTAAAAAATTGTTCTGAAAAGCTTTTTATGTTCTGCAAAGTTAAATTAGACATATATGGAAACCACAAACACACAGCACCTGGTTAAATAAATTTTGGCTGAATAGAGGCCAGGCTATTTGCAAAAGGAAATCTGGAAAACATTTGAGTGGCTAACATTACTTATTTTATACTTTTCTCTCTTTAGGAAAAAAAAAGTGGTTTGGAAATAGAAAGAAAAAGAATTTTAATGTGGGTGAAGAAAATAAGTTCAATTACTTTCCAAATCAAATCTTAAGGGGCTATGTAGACTGAGGCACTATCATGGAGTGATTGTAGCAACACTTAATACAGAAATTGGTAAACAAAAAATATTTCCCATACATAGAATGGGATGTGAAGAGGTCATATAAACATTGTTCTCCAAATGTGGAATAAACTATCACTGGTAAGTGGTAGCTAAAATAATTAATGCTATAAATTAAATCACTGGATTGCATACATCAAAATTTCTGATCTAATAAATCTGAGTGCCAGCATTTCATGCTACTGGGAAATTATGCTGAACCTACATCTGAGTATGTATGTGGACTAATGAGTTTCTCCCCAAAGGAAAAAAAGCTCATTTTGTAAAATTGATTATGTTGAACAATAAGATTGCTAATTTCGTAGGTTAAAAACTGTCAAAAGCAGCAATTTCATATGACTTAACCTTTCATTTTTTTTTTCTAAAACAGGTCACTGGAGAAAGGGGTGAGGTGGGGAGAAACAGATAATAAACTTCATTATGATTCAGAAAATAAAACACCTGATCAGAATCAGTGGGTTCCCAAAGGGAACTTGAAAACACTATTGGGTGTTGTATATTGAAACTAACTATGAATCTACAAAAGGTTTCACAATTGACCTATTCATCAGAGATAGGTGTATAAAAAGTTT